GTATCATGTGATAACATATACAGTTATTGTGCATCCTTTTTGACACGTTTTTGCTATAAGGCGATCCAGGCGTCCAAAAAGGGGGGTTATGTTTTACTCCCAACATAGGTGCCCTGACACCGCCTATGCATGACCATACAATTTTAGTCGGTTCTCTCATAAGAAAATTGTAACATAACAAGACCTTACCACCCTTTTTAGAAACAGTACCAAAAAACCTTATTACTATACTTTTGGTACCCCCAATCTCAATGATCTGTATCCGCCTATGATTTTTGAAAATGCATATTTTTAGGATCCATGTGAATTCTGGTCATTCTCTATCGATCGGCAAAGTTGCGTTGAAATTGGTTCAGAAACCTGGCCGTGATAAACAGTCTAAAATGTATCTGCAATTTGCCCGTTTTTACCCCCTACCCCCCCCCCCCTATTGACATTTTTTAATTTTTGTTTTTAGAAATGTAGATCACGTTGAGCGAAATCGAATGCCGTTTGAATTTTGAAAATCGGCCCGTTAGATCTCGAGATATCAAGGGGGGGTCGTAAACAGCCCCCCCCCCCCGCCACTAATAGGGGGTAGCCAGGAGCCTGCCACTAATAGGGTTAAAATTAAACCAACAAAAATGTTTCTAAAGAACTAGAATACAATGAAAACAAATGAGTAATGCAAATATGTTAATGACAATAAGACTAGGGAGACAAGTGAACCTTTTTACGCCCAATTTACTCTGCAGTGCATGCATTTCAGTATAAGTGCAGGCTATTTCGACAGTACGGCATAGTGCATTCCTATATTGAGTCGCGGCACGATATTCGTCATAGTGCAGCCCATTTCGCCCTAGTGCAGTTAAAAGTGGCCCTAATTCAGGCATATTAGACATAAAGCACATTATTCGTCAGGTCATTATTCGTCGGGTGCTTTCCTGTGTGGCGTCAGGAACATTTCTTTTGGTTTTGTTCAATTAAATTTCCCAGTGTATTTAAAGGTGATAACAAAAATTATATAGCATTCCCAATCTTTTTGAGGCAGCAACGAAGTTATGCAGCCAATTCAGAAGCCCTGAATGCCACGTGACCGCCACGTGACCGTGTCACCGAGTTCTTAAAGCGAGACTAATGATAAGCTTATTCCTGAGAGCTGAAGTTACATTTGAGCAGCTCTGTGACAAAGTTTCACGTTACTCTTGTGGCGGATCCAGGGGAGGGCAAATAGGGCAATTGCCCCTCCCAAACGGCATAATTCTAACATTGCGCCTATGTACGGTGCATGGAAAGAACCAATACATTGTCATGGTTTGCCCCTCCCAAAACTCTGAGCTGGATCCGTCAGTGTCTCTTAGTCTTGGCACACAGATAGGGGAGTTCCAAAATATTTTCCCAATCTAGCAGCGAATTCACTTGAACATCGCCTAAATTGCTTTGCAGGATGCCGAATAGCACACCACATGACAAAACCGTGCAGTATGACGAAATTGACCCACAGTCCGCTAAATTTGAACGCACTCTCTTGTAAACTGATAATTGATTGCTCTGTTTTTGAAACGTGCGCACTACGTTATTAATATCATGCACTCGGCCGAACTAGCGGTGCACAATGCCGAACTGTCGAAATCGGTTGCACTATTACTGAACTGTGTGCACTATTTCTATATTTGGCCGTAAAAAGGTGTACACGAGAGTTGTATTGATGAGCTGACTCATAGTGTCAGACAGTCAGACTAATGCTGTTCCCTGTAGGCAGTGTTGATGGGCGATTAAATCCCTCTCTACAGGTTCGGGGAAGGTTCTGACACCAGGGATTATCGCAAGATGCCCGTCGGAGGGACTGCTGGTCGGTGTACAGCTGGCAACGGACACACTCCTGGACCAGCTGGCTGCTCTGGCGACTCACACAGTCACAGGGCTAGTCATTTATGGTGAGAAGAAACATCGCGAGTAGAGCATCCTTGACGGGATATCGTGACTGGAGAGGTTAATCGGATACCGACTTTTTGGTATACCGATACCAAACATATACCAACTTGGTATTTGGTATTTCAATCCTAATGTTGTTTTTTTTTTGTATTTTGTTGGTATTATGGAACCTTACTAATGTAGGTATAAGAGGCTGCGAATTTGGCAAAAAGTTGTAATTTTCCTGGTATTCCCTAGTTGGCTCCGTTTCAGTATGTTCCTATGGTTTTGATTGGTATTTAGTTTGGTATCGGTACCCTGATTTTCTGTAATTGACATCACTAGTATTTCCCATGGTTTGGTTGGTATTTGGTTTGGTATCGGTATCCTGATTTTTTTTTTGTTATTGACATCACTAGTATTTCCCATGGTTTCGGTTGGTATTTGGTTTGGTATCGGTATCCTGATTTTCTGTAATTGACATCACTAATCGTGACCACTGACCAGTGGCCATGACATATGTAGGGAAGACGTGGCTGAGTTGGCTCTCATGTTCCACTTAGTCTTGCACCGAATGACCAAACGTAGCGCCTATTGTTAAGCACCTACCGTATACTGAACATGCGATTATACCTACATATGTGGGGCTGCTTATGTGCCTCATTTTCGAGATCGACGGGCTGGATTGTGCTCGACGCTGCTACGGTGCTGTGGACCGGTTAGAAGGATGAAGGATGCCATATAAAGCAGCTGGATCTTACTGCCATATAAAGCAGCTGGATCTTACTATTGAGCTTTCCCACCATTCGTTTATTGCTCTCGCTCGTTCGTTTGCCAAAAAGGCGTCCTACTGGTTTGTTCGAACTTCGAAGTACATATATCTTGCTGTGAATATTATTGATCTTCAGTTCCAGCCATTCCAGTTGGTGTGTCTGTATTTATGTTTTACAGGCTCACGATCCGTGACAGCGGAAGCGACGGGACGCCTCCTGACTGCCCTCACCGGCTTGAAGGACGCCACTGTTTTCGGATCCGGCGTCATTTGCGACACTGTGCTGTCCGCCCTTCACGGCTGCTGCCAGCTAGATACGGTGCAGCTTAATGACACCCGGCCCCTCACGGACATCCCTGCCCTGACCCAGTCAGAAGTGGCAGCGGTCAGCAGGTCAGTCGGCAGGGGCGCAGCCAGGGGGCACACTGGGCTTTAGCCCCTCCCAAATCTAGCAGGCGCCCTCATCCGATGGCGCCTTCCACGATCATTTCGTGGCGCCGAAGGCGCCTTTCTAATGTCCAGCACTCTAGGCGCCCTCGACGGTAAGCCATTGCGGTACACCATGCGGCACTGGCGCCCAGGTTTGCAATTTTATATCTCTTTGTGGGTGAAGATGCACCCACAATCCTGAACTGCCGGATATCCAACCCAAATCTCCTGACCATCTAGCGCCCTCCTCGATCTTTAGTGCCCTTCTGTCTGTTCGGCGCCCTTCTGATCTGTCCGCGCCCTTCTCGCCATTCAGCGCTCTTATGGCCTATCGGCGCCCTTTTCACATTCGGCGGCCGGCGCCCTCTGGGCTGACCAGTCGGCGCCTTCATGGTCCTTACCACACATCATCCTCCTGATCTGTATGCGCCCTCCACACTTGCCGGCGCCCTCCTGACCTGTCAGCGCCCTCCTTATCGTATTATAGCGCCCTCCTCACCGTACAGCGCCCTCCTGACCTGTCGCCGTCCTCCTCACTGTATAGCGGCCTCCCAACCATACAACGCCCTCCAAACCGGCGCCCTCTGCGTTTAGCGCCATCCTGACAAGTCGGTGCCCTTTTCACCGTAGATGGCCCTCCTGAGCTGTCGGCGCCCTCCTGACCGTGCATCGCCTTCCTCACCTGTCCGCGCCCTCCTCTTTAAGCAGTGCCCTCCTGACTTGTCAGCGCACTCTTCACTCGTATAGTGCCCTCCTCATCGTATAGCATCATCCTCACCATACGGTGCCCTCCTGACCTGCCGGAGCTCTCCCCACCATACAGCGCCCTGCTGACTTGTCAGCGCCCTCTTCACGTAGCGCCCTCCAGATCTGTCGCAGCCCTCATCACCGTGCAGTGCCCTCCTCACCTGTCGGCGCCCTCCTCGCCTGTCGGCGACATCTTCGCGTTTAGCGCCCTCTTGACCAGTCGCGGCGCCCTCCGCAATGTATAGCGCCCTCATCACCATACAGCGCATCGTCCTCCTGACCTGTCAGCGACCTTTTCACCTTAAAGCGCCATCCTGACAGGCGCCCTCCTCACATTATGTCCAGTGCCCTCATCACCGATTATCGTTCTTCTCACCATACACTCCGGACCTGTCAGCGCCCTCTTCACGTTACCTATTTTGGTTACTGACCGTGGTAAGTTCTGATCATTGTGTGATGCGTTTAGTTGTCTATTATGGTTTTCCAATTCCATGATCCGTCACATTTTGTGAATTGCCCTAGAAGCTTGAGCTTGAGAGAAGGTGAGCTTGAGAGCAAACCAAGTTCAGTTTAAACTCATTTTGTTTAATGAGGTTAGTTTCGTTACATTACACTCGTTACATTACATTCCTTACATTTTCGTTCTTACACTCTTTCAAATAAAGTATATATTTGTACAGCATTAGTTTTGATAATTATCGAGGAAAAAAGGGTCATGTTTTTACATTTTCTACTATTCATTTTGCTTAACCCGGCAGGTGGTGGGCCTCCCGGCCACCTTCCGCGCGGTGGGGGGGGGCATTTTTTGCCCCTTCCCCGTATCTCCGAAACTACTAGACGGATCCGGAAAATTCAAGCGGCGTTCGATAGCCCTATCAAATTTTTCGAAGGAAACCAAATTTCATTGACTTCGGGGTCACCGATGACGTCACAGATCAGGTCAAAGATGAAATGTTTCACCGTTCACGGGTCTTCTAGGGAAAGCGCTATAACACCGAGTAAAATGCATTTTGTCGAAAATCAGCGATAGGGCGTCAGTTGTCTAGTACATATGTTGCTATTAGAGGTCACTGGTCATACCAGGTCAAGTCACAGGTCAGGTCACCAAGGGTCACCACATGAACCCAACTTTAGTAAAGTTGTGCGATGCATGTTTCATGGCCAATTTTTTCATTTAAAACTCAATGGTGCTGGTTATAAGACCATCAGGTACGGTTTAGGTCACTTTCTGGTGGAGGTCAGGTCAAGGTCAGGTAACAAAAGGTCAAATTTCGAAGTTGTTCGTTTTGCATAAAATGGGTATTGATTCGATGCAGCTCGTCACGGGGAGTCTAATGGTGTCCTTTGTTTTTCGCTACAAGGTCTAGAAGTACTAAAAATTGAGTTTGAAAATTTGACGTCATCAATTTTGAGCAGTTTTTTCGCTATAACTTGGCCAAAAAAAGAGGTATAGATCTCAAATTTGGTATGTAGATAGAAGGCGGTAGGGGCTATCACATATATTCCGTTTTTTCGAAATTCAAAAAAAAAAACTTTGGGATTTTTCGGCTGTTATATTTAACAAAATCTACTTATTTGATTTTGGGGCTCAAAATCTAAAAATTTCAAAAATCAGAGATAACAGTTTTGTAGCCCTCTTGATTCTACACCTTTTATTCTGAAACATTTTTCTTTATCTCTAAAGCTGTAGGCCTGACAGCTCTTCCCGCGAAACCTTTTTTTGAGTCGATCGAAAATGGTAGAAATGACGTCACTCTGACATCATTTGCGGCCAACCCATCGTAGCCTTTGGAAAATTTTGGTCACAATGTGCAATAGCTATTCACGGGAGGGTACTGAAAGTTTGGTGACGATCGACGCAGCGGTTCTGGAGATATATCGAAAAAACTAAAGGGGGGCAAATAAATGCCCCCCTACCGCCTGGAAGGTTAAGGTTTTGTTTAAAATTTTGGCTTCGAATAATAACAAGTGTTGCCTTGCACGTAAAACATCCAGTTTTTTTTTACAACTAGTTATTTACAAATAGAAAAGCGTTAGGGAACCAATATTTAAATCGACTGAAGCGCCAACTAGAAAGAGAACAATTTCCGGAAAATAAAGGCAGGACAACGTTTCCATCGCCTTAATTTGGAGCTCACTACATGTAGTTCGACAAATATCCATCGAAGTTTGCCGGTCGGGCCAGTGCCACTGGCCCGACCGGCAAACTATTCACTCATCTTATTCACTCTCATTCATCTCATTCAAGCACTATCGTCCTTTTTGGGTCGGCCGTAAGCCGTAAGACGCTTAATACCAGAATTTGAGACCTGAATTTGAGCCGAAGGACGGAGGAACTAAGCCATGGGGTCGAAAAATACACCAGTAATGCAGATATTCGCGGCTCGTTTGTTTGCCTGCAAGACTGCCGCGCCTTGCTTCCGTTCGAAATACGTAAAATGTAAAGGCAGTTTTCATCTGGAATACCTAGAATAAACCGTGGTTGAGCGAAATAAGGTCGCATGACCATGTAAGGGAAAAACGAGTGTGCATTTTGTCGTCCGAAATTGGCGCCCTCCTGACCCGAAATTGGCGCCCTCTTGAGCCAAAATTGGCGCCCTCACCAATTCTAGCCCCCTCCAAAAAAAAATTCCTGGCTGCGCCCCTGTCAGTCGGCCGGACGGCGCCGGCGGGTATTTTATGCATATCTGGATAGACCACAATAACCCCAGAGAGAGCGCATCCTGTGGAGGTATAGGTACAAGTAATACGGGCACATGGACACTGGAAATGGAAACAAACTCGTTACAGAAGAATAAGCATCCACAAGCAGACTTTTTGACTCAGGTGTATTGTATTGACAATCGCCGACACTCCACAAGCACAGTAGTGGCTGTTCCGTGTCGTAAGTCACGAAGCAAAAACAATGCCATACGTAGGTAGATGGGTAGATGGGTCTAGTTCGATGACAGCCGGTGGAAGTTTGTGTACTGTCTCGCAGTACCTATATTTAACATAAGCAATGAACAGCGATACAAAATAATAACGTAAGCGCAGCTCCGCGCGGCTCAAGCGTCAGCGGGCGACTCCCGCTCCGCGAGCCGGTCGTACACGGGTCATGTCACCACCAGGCGGCAGCACTGGTCCTGTGACCCGGCCTCACGTGACATTACGACACCACAGTTTGTTTAAAAGAGATGTTGCGCGATATAAAAAGGAGCGTTGCCCGGCTGCTGAGCGAGTAAAAGGAGGTCTAAAATGCCGGTCCTGTCGAGTGCTACGGTTACATCGTTGTTGGCGCGATACACCGAGTCACAAACAGAGATGAAATGTCGGCCGGCTCGTCATACACAATTGCCTTATGGGCCACAGCCATTGCTGATATCTCGTACATACGTCGAGGACAGAGCAGTCCAAGGTCCCCTCGCGCGCGAGACACGTGATCGTACTTTCTGAGGCCAGTGATCACCCTGGTAGCAAAGTTGGTCACGCTGAGCAGCCGTGAGTCGTTTTTTGCGGTACCACCGCCATATACAGAAATACAGTATCTCACGCGCGAGAGGACCAGACCGTCGACAACAGTTCGCAGTACACCCCGCGGGAGGAGATTCCTCAGATGGCGGACACCGATCAGGAGGCCAATACAACGACGGACCACGTCACCAACGTGTGCGTCCCAGCTAAGGTGGCGATAGAAGATCAAGCCCAAGTTTTTCACTGTCTGGCTCTCCTGAACGGTCTCCCCACCGACCCGTACGCTGACAGGGGATAGGTCACGTGGTTTTGCCGGGTACCAAGGACGATGATTTCAGTTTTGGATGCGTTGAGCTTTAGACCATGGGCATGGAACCATGTAGACAGGGTGCAAAGTGTGAGTTCCATGCGTTGGATAAGGGAAGGAAGGTTGCGTTTGGTGTCGGATATAAGGATTTGGGTGTCGTCAGCGTACTGGGTCACATGAGCGTCCGGCGCGTGCAGGCTGAGGTCGTTGGCGTATAAGGTGAACAGGAGAGGACCGAGGGCAGATCCCTGAAACACTCCCATGGCATTAGGGAGAGGATCTGAGACCACTCTGTCACCAGAGGGAGATGTAATTGAAACGGATTGGGTGTGACCGGAGAGATAGGAGGCGAACCAGGCTGGGTGAATGTTGTAGGTACTGCTGGAGCTTGGTAAGGAGCAGGTTGTGAGGGATGACGTCGAAACACTTGCTGAGGTTCAAGAGGCAAAGGAGTGAGAGGTGGCTACGGTCCATATTGGAGAAGATCCGGTTTGTGACTGTGAGCAGAGCGGTCTCGGTGGAGTGACGGGGGCGGAAACCATGCTGGGATGGGGATAGATGATTGTTGGACATGTAGGCGAGCAGCTGTTGCTGCACCACACGTTCGACAATCTTGGTAACGACAGGAACAATGGAAATAGGACGGTAGTTGGATATTTGGGTCGAGTCACCGGATTTGAAAATAGGATGAACCAGAGAGTGTTTCCAGGCATCAGGGATGTCACATGAGGTGAGTGAGAAATTAATGATATGGAGAAGGATAGGTCCGATGGCGTCAAAACTAAGGATAAGGATACGGATGCATATACCGTCAGTCCCACACGCACCGGAACGCTTCATGGAGAACATGACCTCCCGCAGGGCGCCCAGCGTCGTGCCCGACACCCGAAACCCGCACGCCCCCACACGCGGCAGACGGCACGGAATGTCCGGCGGCGGCCCGAGATCGGACAGGCCGGCCGCGACACGGGGTCCGACATTCACGAAGTAGGTGTTCATTTCGTTGGAAGTGGCCGCAGGAAGGCTCGGAGTGCTGCTTCGCTTGCCGGCGATGACTGGGCGGATAACATGGTAGAGGGAGCTGCTCACCCGCTCTCGCAGTTTCGCTTCAATGTCCGCACGACAGTCACGCCTGATAGCGGACCTGACTAGCCTGTCCAGGCCACGGAAAGCAGGCGACCTCCCTTCGCGACGCAGCACTCCCCGCCGCTGTGCCATTAGGTCCCGAGTGTGGCCGGTGTAACCGCCGGCGCATCGGGATTCCTGATCTTCGTAAGTCTTATCGGAGCATGTCTATCTATAACCGGTAGCAGAAGGTCGGTAAAATAAGACCACATATCTGCGACATTGACACATCTAAAAATTCCAGTCCAGTCCAAACGATTCAAATCATTTAACAAATCAAAGCGATTTACTTGTTTTAGCGACCTTGTTCTAATGCGAGAAACCGATCTACGACACTTTGGCACTGATATGGCTATGCGAACGTACACTGAAAATAAATTAACACTCGCGTGCCGGTGACACGAAAAAAAGCACCAATGAGAGGCGTTTTGGTAGGGTGTAACACAACTCAACTGTGTAACTGTGGGGTGTAACGCCGAAGAATGGTGCAATTACTCGGTGTTCAAAATCAACACCGACAATTAACACCAATGCCACCTCAGACGAACCGACGCTACGGATAAATAAAACCACCATTTGGTGTCAACACCCCGTGACAGAGACGTTATATCGCATACGCCACACAATGGTGTAGCTCCCAGTTCATTGATCTCTAAACGGTGTTACTAGCACCGTTACCATGGATCGGATATGGCCTTGGATTCAAGGTCAGCCGGCCGCCGGCCAGCGCGAGCGGCTGCGCGTGCACATGCGTAAATTCAAATGAACGGCGGCGTGTTGATTCGCGCTTCAGTTTGAGTCGAGTGATGCGGGGCTGTGTGGAGACTGGAGGTGGTGTGAGAATCAGGGCTGCGGAGTCGCAGTCGGAGTCGGAGTCGGTCGGAGTCGACAGTTGTGACCGGAGTCGGAGTCGGAGTCGGAGTCGCTTTTAGAAACCCGATCCGCAGTCGGAGTCGGAGTCACCGAAAATCTGTCGACTCCGCAGCCCTGCTAGGTCTGCGGAGTCGGAGTCGGGAGTTGGAGTCAGTCGGAGTCGACAATTCTGCCCGGAGTCGGAGTCGGAGTCGGAGCTGGTTTTTGAAAGCCGGAGTCGGAGTCGGAGTCGGAGTCGCCGAAAATCCATCGACTCCGCAGCCCTGTGTGAGATAAATAAGTGATAGATAAGTGTGATAAATAAGTGTGATAAATAAGTGTGATAAATAAGTGTGATAAATAAGTGTGAGATAAATGTCTGGTCTGGTATGTTGTCAGCAGAGTCCGGTGACCACCCGTGCACTTGAGAAAGCGCCACTCACAGTTGCCGCAATTTTTGTTAATAACATTTGTTTATTGCTCGTCTCGGACGTTACAAAATAAATTGTCTTTATTTAAGGAATGCTTTGCTTTGTATGGGGTCTAGGCAAGCCACAGTATACCCATATGGACTTGTCACATAGTTCACACAGACCCATGCACACGTATATATATATATATATATATATATATATATATATATATATATATATATATATATATATATATATATATATATATATATATTAATTCATCGAGCTGCAGCTACACCAAACACCGGTGTATCTCCTTCACAACACCGGAAGAGGGTGTACCCAATTGGCTACTAACACCACACATTGGTGTAAGGGTATTTGTTTTGTACCCGTAAAGAAGGTGCAAATTAATGGTGTAGCACCTTTTTATGGTGTAACGCGTCGTGTAGCACCACAAACTGGTGTACTTACAGTGATTTAACGCCATACGCCAGTGTATGTGCCTGGTGTTACACCAGGATTCAGTGTATGCTTACACCAAAGCTTGGTGTTGAAACTACACCGGTGCAGGTGCTCAAAAACGGTGGGGTGTAAACATTTCCTAAAAAGGTGTAAACACCAGGAGCGGGTGTGAATTTATTTTCAGTGTAGCAGTGAGGGCTAAAAGCGCATGGAAAAACACCCACGCGTTGGACAATGTCATCAGAGTTAGAAAAAACTACATCTAAAAGCGAACCTGATGCGAATGTGGGTTTTGAAGCGTATTGATACAAGTGAAAAGACTGAAACATGTCCCGCAGTCGGTCTCTACAAGCGTTTGGCTCCTTGTCTAAAAGATTACAATTAAGATCGCCCATGATGATGACATGTCCGACTCCGGTATGCTGCAGTATCGCCCGCTGATACTGGAGCTCCAGCTCGCCAAAGTCCGCCTGGAGCGCCGCGGCCGTTCTCCGCGGCGGCCGGTAGACGGCGGCGAGCGTGAAGTGCTGCCCGGTAGCCGGCTTCACCCGGAGCCACAGCGACTCCAGGTGGTTGTGTTGATGCGATGCAAACAGACAGACAGACGGACAAACGGACGGGCAGCTTCATTATCTGGACTGGACTGGTATTAATATAGATATGGACATATTATTGGATGGCATAAGGCTCTTAGTATCGTGTCAAACATTCGTAGCTGATTGCAGCACCAGACTGGGAACTTGAGATAGCCGGAGGCACATATGTTCTGTTATGAACGGCATTGGAACTACATGGTGTATCCGTGTCGAGTCGACCGCTGGTGCCAGTGTGTGACTGTGTCCCGTATACTGACCTGTTCTGTTTTGTTGTGATCTGTTGCAGGATGGCAGTAACCTGCAGGAAACTGAAGAACCTGCACCTAATCTCCTCAATCGAAAACCGCCAGGCCGTCCTGAACGCCCTGCACGAGACAGACCTGGGATGTGACAGTGGCCAGGCCCGTACCATCAAGCTCGTTGTCTCCAGTAAGTGACGGCGTCTCGACCACCCACACCAGCCGACACGGCGCCACCGGCCTCTCTGATACGCGCAGACACTGACGCACGTGACGTCACAATAGGTGACGTGTATCTCCGTTAGTGACGTCACAGTATCAGTATCAACCCACATGACGTCACTAGTCAGTGATACACACAAGTGTCATTGTGTTTGTTTCTGTATCTGTAGGCGACGTTACGTCATCAGTCTGAGTTGCCCCATGTGACATCACTAGCAAACTGTGTGTAATCTGACGTGCTCTATTTTCCAGAGTCTGTATACGACAAGCTTACCAAGCCTCCCAATGGCAGCAAAATCAGTTTAGATTACTTTACGTAGACGACTAGCTTCCCGGTGCCCCGTCCGCTTCGGTGCCGGCGGCAGTGTCGGAACTCGACAACAGATGGCAGCACCATGTCCCGTCGGCAACGCTGTACTGAACATAATGCACATCTAGACCTTTATATCCAGAAGTGCTTCGAGCCGCCCTGTCCCATCGGGCCAGGTCTGCGGGTACTTTACCGCCGTGCCAGGCTGGTTTGGGTTGAGTGACCACCTAAATGCTTGATCATTTGAGCACAGATTGCTACGTTTGTCGACACTACACTGCTCTGCTTTGATAGACGGTAGGTATATTCAGTATTCGAGATGTATCACGCTCGGGGCCACTGTCCAGCCGTCGGTAAACCGTTGTCACCGTGCCGGAGGTACCGCCGTGGTGACGTCACGTGTGTTGTCGTGACGTCACGCTGGCTCACGCCGCTGTGCTGTTGTGTTGTAGTTTCAGTTTATACCAGAGAGTGGTTGGAGCTAGCTGTGAGGGTGTCCGGTCCGGGCGATATCGGACCTCGCCCGTCACTGTGTCGGACCGTCGGTGGTCCGGTCGGCTGTGGTTCGTTTGGACCGGATATGTCCGGTTCGGTGTCGATCATGGGATATCACGGGCTGATGGCGATTGAAATACACAGTGGTTCAGACGTTCAATACACAATGTTCCTGGATTTCCCAGCGCCACTATGTAGTTCTGTTATTTCGTGACGGTAACTAGTCAAAGGGATTGTAAGGCTTCTGACCATTATGCAATGCTTTGAACATATCATTCCATAATGTCATACGAAGTTGTGATAAAAAAGTCACTTACTTGAAGTGACGTGGAGCTCTGATGTGTAACAAAAGTAAAAAGTAAATAAACAATTTCTTCTTCTGTGATAGTCTGTTTTGGGACCTCTTGTTTCAGCCGTATAACCAACACGGTTGATCTTTTCTTCAAGTATGTATTGCAAATTTGACGACAGAATCCAAAAGTAATAAACAATCGGCCGAGACTTTGAATAACGATACGTCAGGCCGCTACGGCGGTTGGCTTTCGACTCATCCTTTCACAGCTCCTGCTCGGCGATCGGCGTCGGCCGCTATATTCCAACGTCATACACACACGTCATACATATAGATGTACGTCATATCATAGCACCAATCAGAAGCGGGCGAGGACAGGCGTCGCAGGTGAGGAGGGAGGACCATATAAGGATATTGTAAGTGGGCGAGGGGGCTGGGCAGTAAGTAGGTACAGAGGGAGGTGGAGGACGGGGTAGGAACGAATTTCGTTACATGATGTCAGGATGCTTCATAAAAAGTGCGTGCAACTTCAGATTGCCTAGTATAAGTGTTCCGTGAAAATTAAGCCAAACCCAGACTCCCAGAGAGTTATCAGTAAAAAGAAAAATCAGGTCATTTCCAGGAAACGTATCCCTCACGGGACGGAGCGAATCATACTTTTTACCCACACCACCGGCTCAGAACTTCAGTTGACTGAGCCGTTAGGCTATACTGATTATCACACATCAAGTGTGTCTATGGTGATCAATGTGTCACCCAGCCCGTGCGGTGCGGCACAGCCTACCACTGCAGGCAGCTGATTGCCCGCTGAGAAACGGTGCATCGTTCTGCCGTCAACTGTAGACTGTACAGTGTGTATTAGTTATATTACAGCTGTATGGACACAGCACGGGTACGGATCCCTGTCACCATACCATCGACTGGTGGATACAGGACACGGTTTAGTATCCAGCGGTGCGATACAGCCGGTGGCCGTTATTTCTTTTAGAAGGCTGGGTACCCCCAGTGGACATTACCACTTTTAGAAGGCTGGATACCGCTAGTCGCCACTCGCCATTATGACTTTTAGAATGCTGCATACCGAAAGTGGCCATTATTATTTTACTCAAGGCTGGATATCGCCAGTGACCATTATCACTTTTAGAAGGCTGGATACCGCCAGTGGCCGCTATTATTTTACTGAAGGCTGGATGCCACTAGTGGCTACTACCTATCACTTTTTAGAAGGCTGGATGTCGCCAGTGGCCCTATTCACATAGAGGGGAAGTGTCCAATAGGGTCTTTCGGTTGTTTTCTCAATTAGTTAGGTACTCACCTCTAAAAAGTGGTGAATATTGACGTAACGTTTATCACTCAGTTCTAATCAATACCCTTACCTGGAAACCTTCGTGGTCCGACCTTTGAAATTTTGCATTGTTTAACCCGCGCCGGGCCGGGGGTGTTTGAACACCCCTGCGGTTTTTCGCAGATATCTCAAAAAACGGCGGCGCGGAGCGCCACTGTTTTTGGCACACCTGTTCATGCATCTTTTCCGCACATTTTATTTAAAAAAAATCAGACCCAGGGCTCCAAAGGTCAGGTCACCAGGTCAGGTCAAGTGACCTCACCTCAGAAAAAAAGTTTCAACCCTCGTCATAGCTACAGCGACTGAACGATCGCCTTGAAACTTTCAGCGATTGATAAGAGTAACAGTATGTAGGGGAAAGTGGGTGTATTGCGCCCTCCTAACCAATTGCGCCCACCAACATTCCCACGGATTCAATGGCATGTTTAGAATTTTGTGTTCGAAAACATTATTTTCACCACTGGATTGTTCATTTTATGGCCCAAACACTCCGATGAAGCCAATGAGCAAGGCTCATTACGCCATCAAAGATGTTATGGCGTTTTCTTAACTTTTTTGCAGTATTTTGAGCCGTTGGCTATAAAAAATTTGCGATATTTGTGTGATTTTCAGAGTGATATTTAGAAAGAAAAACCCTTTTTTCATTGTATTTCACTGAAACCGTAAACTTCCTGCAACATCTTTATGATAACTTCTATCCTTTTATAAAACTACCTCAATTTTAATTGCGCCCATGGCAATTGCGCCAGGGGGGCGCAAATAGAATAATGGTGTAGCCATTGTATCACGACAGTATGAATGCATCATTAACTGATTGCAATAAAGAAGGAATTTAATGTCAGGCAAGGGAGCAGCCCGCTGTCGTCAGTCCGCAAATTATTTCTATCGTCAAACTTATAATGCAGCTGCCATTTAGGCTACGACTTGTGGTGTAATTGACAAAATACGACATTTTCATTATGGACTCAGGCGTGAGAAGTGACAGCTATGATAAAAAAGTAAAAACTGATGCCATTAAGTTGTCAAAACGATAAAAATTATTAATTTAAGAGAAACGAGTGAAAATTTAACTGAATAGGCGGATACGTTCACATATATCTAGTCGGTTACAGTAAACGTTTTCGTTGCACTTTTACAAGCGTACGGACACATGTAAAGTTATCTACCTGGACAAAAAACATCGCGATATATATCTACATTTATTATTTATCCAGCCTGAATAACATAATAAATGTTTAGGTAAGCCGCAGTGACATTAGACTGCCGGGGTGTATGCATTCCGTCTCATTCACTTAGCCATGTTAAAGTATAGGGCGCAATTGGGTTCTAATTGCGCCATCCCCCTGGCGCAATTTACAGCAGTTGTTGGCAAATGCGCCCTTTTGCATGTTTCTGAAAAAGCAGCTGTCAGAAGCAAACGAAACATTCTTTATTGATCGGGAGGCTCTTAAATCGTAGCCAATGAGCTCCTCTTTGAAATGGTTACCAGTGCATGCTTATATCTCCAGCGGTTTTCTTACAATTAGCGTTTTTCCTTAAGGTGGCGCAATTCACCCTCCTTCCCCTACAAAATGTTTATCTCGGAATTTCGATATCGGTGACCTAAGGTCAGGTCAATTTTGCGACCTCTCCATCATACTCTGTAACAAATATTCAGTACACTATGGCATGAAAATCAATCAAGCGAAAACGTTCATGGCACCAAAATAGCTTTGCAGGACACCCAGCCAGTTCAGATTAAATTTGGACAGTTGATCATTTCTGAAAGCCGCACAGTTAAAAATCTCGGCCTCACAATGGACAGACATCTGACGTTCGGGGATGATGTTAGCCAGCTGGTTGGCAAATGTACCGGTCTTTTGAGTTCGCTGTCCCATTCCAAGCATGTCATACCTACCGGACCGTTACTTACATTGTGAACGAGGTTGTGGTTAGCTCAATTCGCTACTGAGTACTGCATCTCCATCTGCGGGTCCGGCGGTAAAACAGAAATGCACCGCATTCAGAAACTGTTCAATTTTTGTGCTCGTGTTGTAAGCGGCCGGCACAAATTTGATCACATTTCTGACGTGTTTCATCAACTCGGGTGGTTACACGGTAAGCTGCTCGTGAGCTACCAGATACTTGATTAAAAAGTCGCTCTAGATACTGAATTACCTGCCGACATTGCAGCCATGTTTTCGTATGTCTGTAGGTACTCCACATCCTACTCGCCAGATCGGCCAGCTGCACTGCCACTGCCAGAGAGCAGACGCCAGACAGACATGTTCCGGCACCAGGCGGCTATTACACTGCAGTGCAATGTTTAACCGGCTCCCGAGCGAGCTGAAATGCCTCACCGGATGTGCCTTCAAACGCCATCGTAAGCAGTTGCTGCTGTACACGTGGTACTGTTGTGGTACTGGGACTGATGGCTGATAAGTGAATGCAAGGAGTGAATGAATGGTGCTGTGTTTGTGTTTATCTGTCTTAGCCTCGCCGTTGTTTTGCCCTTTACCTACCCTGGTTTTACCTCCACTGACGTAG